CACTCCTTGGGGACGTGAAATCCACAAGGATGCGCTCGTTCCACCTGTCCTTGGGGACGAAATTGAAAAAGAAATGTGAAAACGCCACAAGGAAAATTCCTTGTGGCATCCTTGTGGCCCCAGCCATTTCTTCCTTGTGCCCAGGTCCCTTGGGCACAAGGAATCTGCGTTTCACGGAGAGGAGAGGGTACACGGGTAGATAGACGTTATAGCTGAGAATCTGGATCGCGGCGGCACCCTATTGGCTGAAGGCCTGAAGCACAACTGTTTTTTTTTTTTTTTTCCCTGACATCAGGCTTAGGAAATGTCCTCGGGCCACGTCCCCGAGGACAGGTGGAACGAAGAGCCCAAATTCCGTTAGGAGCCACAAGGAAAATTCCTTGTGGTGCAAGGAACTCGTAAGGAGTGTCTAACGAGGCCCTCACTCACAAAGACAGGAGATCGAACCCTCCAAACGACTACGAGAATCTGCCTCTGCATCACAGAAAGGATGGACACCATTTTCATATTTCATGAACCGCCTTGGCATACACACGCCGTCTGTCGCTCCGAGGTGTTTTTGGTTTCTCGCATACCCCACAGTGCCCACACCATGTGAGGAACCAAAACCACCCAAAAGGCAAATATTTGAGAAATCCATCGACCAATGAAGGACGCCGTTTAAACCACCAGTACTTGGGCGACGCCTTAGCGTTAACGCTACGCGATTTCCGCGGCCGGCGGGCCATCGATAAATCGAATCGACAGCCCGCGCTGCTTCGAGATTTGGGCGGCCGGCGCGGCACGCAGTGCCCAAGTACTGGTGGTTTAACTCTCTGTGCCAGTAGCCTTGAAACTATTTTTCCTAACCCTCAGATCATCTGCATTCGACGGCCGGATGGAACGTCACACCGTGCGGCATAGGGCCAACCAAAACTTTTCGGTCCGCCATTGGGACTTGGCTCCTGGAAGAGAGGTAGCAGTGCATGCTCATATCATCACTCCTACGGTCCTACCTGTTGACACGGGAATTTAAAGAGTTAAAAAAAAAAAAAGAAGTTAGTGCTCTGTTCGTGGCCCTGCTGTATGTCTGTGTGCGCCATCATGGTGGAACATTCACAATGGGTCAAGCAACACTGTGTGCCCAAAAAAAAAAAAAAAAAAAAAAAACACTGTGTGCCCCATTATAAAAACGCCGGGCGCAGACTGTCGATTTGGAAACTTTAAGGGTCAGATCCCACTACCCTGGATTATTCATTTTTCACCCTCGATTACGAAGATCAACGGCCAGAAATGAACAAGAGGGGCTAGTGGGATCTGGCCCTAAGAGACTCAGGCTGACCAAGTTTTGCTGGCACGGCCAGCGTTGCAGGAGAGGAAGGCGGCTGGCCGGGGGGGACTCGGAGGTCCCACTAGCAAAGAGGATCATTGGATTAGGTATCGGAATCTGGATGTGTTCTACGCAGAGAGAGATGCAGAAAAGCAGTTTCGATCGCCACTTCATGCACCTCTCCACAAACGCGTCCAGATTCCGGCATTCAACCTGATCCTCTCTGCTAGTGTGACCTTGCCCCTGGTGATTCCACATCTTAGTTTTTTTTTGACACACAAAAAATAGTTTTTTTTTGTTGTTGTTGTTGTTTTCTCTGCCAAAAAAGAGTTCGAACTTTGGAGTTGTGTGGTGATCCAAAGCTCACCAAAAAAAAAAAAAAAAAAAAA